AGAAATTGTAATTGGGATAAAGAAATGGGAATGAGAGAAAGTGAGAAAGAGAGAATGTAAGGCCTTCAAAGGCCAAATGGGAGATGTTGGGTTTATATGGCCTTTAAAAGCCTTATGAGTGCTTGTAAAATGAAATGATATAGTGGAACATGAACTCAGTAGGAGTGTAGTCCCTCGTGGACCATACTAAGCAAATAATGATTTGCTGATACCGATCTGTGCTTAACGATCTAGGCCAGTCGATTGGAAAAAACCCATGTTACCTGGGCATAAAGAATAAATGGAGAAAGGTTCTCATGGGTTAGCCCTTGATGAGGTCGGAGAATATGCCCGGATGAGTGAGCCGAGGGACTATGTAACCCTTGTGTGTGATAGTAGCCTACAAAGATAAGGCCAAAACCTCATCCATGTACCATCACACGGCATGCATATCGATAGATCGTTCGAAAAAGCTAGAAATCCAGCTTTTAGGGTGAAGCGTATGAATGTACGAGAGATACCCCTATACGCCATAGAGCTGTGGTCGCGTAAGATCTTGGTGACCTTGACTTGTCTCTAGGGGAGAACTTGAAATCTACATACTACGATTGCGATCTCTTGGCTCATCGGTTGGACATTGGTGACCCGCTAATGAGCCCCTGCTTGGACTGTGGGTCATGAGAAACACTGGGTCGATCTGATAAAGCAAGTGTGGTCTGTAGTCCACAATTGAAGGTGGAGTGCCCCATGATTGTTGATTCTTAAACCATATGGATCATTTTCTCATCAAATTAATTTAATTGTATTTGTTTTGTAATGGAAATTATTTTAAGATTATTATTTGAATTTTTATGAACCCCTGGATATTTTATTTATAATTTTTGGATTTATAAAATTAAAGATATTGACTGTACAATTGTTTAAATATTCAAATAATATTCTAAAATCATTTTATTAATTTTAAATATATAAAAATATCATGGGGGCCCATTGTGCACATAGGCCCCCCATATTTTTAGAAGGTGGGGCCCATGAATGCCTCCCTGGGATGGCACGCCCCACCCTTATTCTCTTTCCTATTTTTTGGTGATATGTCATGTGACAATATGGTTGGAAGATATTGACTAAATATTGACTTGATATACCTTTGAAAGATTTTATAGAAAGATTGAGTAGACTTGTGCTATTTTATGGTATGCACAATATTTTGATTAAATTTAATTTATTTAATTTCTATTGATGGGAAAATAGTTTAGGAAAGGGAGATAATGGTTTATGCACATTCCATAATGTTGATGGCCCATCTATGGAATGGATGGCTCAGATCTTTCACCCTACAAGTCACCCTTGATCGATAGTCTATGTTCAATCTCACGAGAAGAGGCAAGCCAAAGAAAACCCTAAAAAACCCTAATCTTATTCAAAAGCCTATAAAAAGGGATTGTCTCTACTAAAAAATCTATATACCTTATCTTTTTATTTTTCTCTCTTAAGAAAATTTATCTCTCTCTCGTGAAAGAACCTAAGGGTTTAGGTTATGGAGTTCTTCTCTCTTATCTCACAAATATGGAATTTATGGCTAAGGGTTTTAGGGTTTAACAAAAAGAGAATTCATCTCTCTCAAACTAGGTTGCTAAGAGAATTCTCCTAGGGTTTGAGTTTATGATCAAAGGGATTCATGTTCCATTGGTATAGCTTGGCTGAATTTTTTTTCCCGGTTCGAAATTGAAGCTAGACCGTTGATCCCGCGCCATCGGATGGTGGTGACTTGGTGTGGGGTGTAATAAGCCCAGTTGAGGTAATCTCCAGCACTCTTCATAGTGTTTATTACAATCTTATCTTTTATTCTCAAACGTAGTGTATAGTTGTTTCAATGGTATCAAGTTGTTAAGATCTTGGTTTTATTGTTATGTTGATTTTATTTTGAAATTTATCTTATTATAATAAATACCACTTGTAAGTGATTGTTTGCCAAAAGAAATGGGTGAAAAAAATAAAATAAAGAAATAATAAATAAATAAAAATTATATTCCCCGATAAAAGATCTTATAGGTCTTTCTTTCAAGAAAATTTTTGGGGACTTATAGTTCACTAAATGTATGACCATTGATAAAGCAAAATGACAAATGACGATTCGTATAGTTGGCCCCAAATAGTTGGAAAAATATTGTGATGATGATAATAACGAATCTTTGGTTACCATTGGTGGAAAAATATAGACCATGTGAACCCATCCTCATGTTTTACTGAAACAAGGTGGTGAAGGATAAAAGAACATGAATGCAGATAACTTCATCATGGCATTGGAAAAAACCTAGAGCAATTTAGAGAAATATTGGATGCTATGATTTGAAGGGTGTTTTCAGGCCAACTTTAAATGGGTATGAGTAGGATTATCAATTTGAGAGAGTTTTATCATGGTGAGCTTGGATCTTGAGTTTATGATCAGCACTTAATTTTAGAACTCGCTTGGAGCTAAGGATGGTAGCAGGCCAAGCTAGGGCTTCCCCGTGCTTGGCTCTGAACCTTAGGGGCTCGGCCGTGCAATAGAGATTAGACTTGTTTTAATTCATAAAAATAAAGAAATAAAGAAAAAAAGTTCAGGTCGGTCCATCAATCTTGGCCGATGCCATGCTCAGATTGGAAATAGAACCTAGATTTGGATGTGGTTTCTATAGAGCCGAGACTCCAATCAAAGTAAAGCGCACCTTTAAATAGTGTCGAGAAATGTGGTTTCAATACTAAAAATCTTTGTGGTTGCCTTAAAATATATTTTCATCTTTAATTATAAAATTTAAAGATTAAAAAATAATGTAGATCGAGCAAATCTATGAAAACTTGAAAATCTTGAAAATTGACGGTCCAAAAATGCGTTACAAGATGCACTATTTCTGAAACTTGAAATCCATTTTTTTCTCATGTCCATGCATCTTGATGTCAAGATGATTAATTTGAGGATATTTGGGCATCAAAACAACCTCTTCTAATGAAATTTTTGAGGTGGGCTCTAATATGATTACTTAGAGACTCAGCTCTATATAAACTTTTTCCCCTAGATTTTAGATCTCAGCCTAGCACTCCAGCCAAATTAACTGCCCTGGGGCTGGGCTAGGTCGGCCTGGCCCATAGCATCTGAGATGATCAATATGCCCTTGTGTCATGTTCCAAAGATTATTCAGGAAATGGCAGCTAACTGGATAGGCAAGCTAGATCGGCCTGGCTGTAATGGCGGTATGGACAATGTTGTAGATCGGCCAGGATGTAATTGTGGTATTGACAATGGTGTAGATTGGCCAGGCTGTAATGGTGGTTTTGACGATTTTGTCTGGTTGGCATTGCAACATAGCCTTACTGACCTTGGGATGGAACAAGGAGACCCTACACACTCAATTTGTTCGGATCATGTATCAACATACATGTTCAAGGAAAAAGCAACGCTTCTGGTGTTTTACAGAGGAAACCCGATATTTTGATGACTCTGTTGCCAAAACTGAAGCTCGAATGGAATTGTCGCAGAGAAGATAAACTCATACTGAGGTTACGGATTTTTGGGCAGGTTCTTGAAGAAGATTTGGTTGTGGGGGTCCATGCCTGTGTAGCACTCCTCTTGCCTTTGGCTTTGGGCAAGTCAAGCGACCATCTTTCTAGGACCCTGGTCTTTCATTTTCTCGAGAGAATTTATGAGCGCCCATATGCAATGTCTATCTTAAAGTTTGGGAAGGACAAGAAAGGGAGCAACTTGGTTCCTGCCCTCTACTCTAAATATTTGTTGAAAGCTACTAAATTGAGAACTTCAAGCATCAAGGTTGAACAGGTTACCGAAAGGATGTACGAGGATTATCCATTATTGGAGCTGGTTCTCAAAACATGCTTCCCCCGAGAAAGTTTGAATGATAGATTGGCAAGAGAAACAGAACTTATTGAGTTGATTATAGGTCGAAGAAACAGGACACTCTCTTATGACTGGATCCACATTTTGTTATGGTGCTTCGGAAACAGTGAATCGTGTTACTGGTTCGTAGACTACATTCATGCAATTACAGAAGATTTTGGAGAAATTGAACGAAGAGAATTCCCGTAAGGCCATCAGTCTTGAAATACTCGAGCAGACTGTTGAGTTCAGGAGGATAAAGAACAAAATGACTGTTGGAAAGGAGGCTACAGTCCTCTGGTAGTAAGGCTTTGATACGAGCTGCGGACAGAGCTCTACTTTAAGATAATTACTAGTATTCATCTAGGATGTGGCAACCGAGTCTGGGTTTGTTTGTGGGATTTACATTTCTAAAATTTGAATTAAGGCATCGCTAGGTTTTCCGTATATTAAGATTGTCTATTATCCATATTTTATTCTTTTGGTGCATGTTTGACTGCCCGCATATATTTGAAAGAGAAACAATGATCTTTCGAACCACCGGCTAGAGCACCTCCTGCAAAGGTAAATGCCCACATCCCTCAGGGGAGGAAATGTTTCCTGCCCTGGAGATTTGAACACCACCATTCAGCCAGCAAACCTATGCCTTGAGGTTGATAATGGGAGATCCAGATGGAGCGTCTTGCATACATTTTCACTTGATCAGACTGTCCATCAACAAATGTGGAATTCACCAAAAATCTAGAAATCCTTAAAAATCCCAAAATAATACAGACCAGATGAGGTTTAAGAGCAAGAGATAGGTATAGTGAATAAGTACCCTAAAAAAAAAAAAAGTATATTTTAGGGAAAAAAGTGAGAAAAAAAATTTGTTTGCGGTTATTTGTATTTTGAGTAGGGGTAAGTAAAATATAGGCTCTACCCATTTTAAAAATGGAAGTCGTTAAAGTTGGAATGAACCCCACTCCCGCCAATCTTAGAACACTTAAGTCTTTGAATGTGATGTGGCAGCTGGACAGCCCCGAGTGGGACCACAATTTGCGGGGCCCACCTTCCTCCGCCCACCACGTCTACGACAAGGGCCACGCCCGCCAAGAGAAATAAAAAGCAGAAAGAAAAAGAATGCCGCGTTTCTAAAATTTCAGTAATTTGCGGGGATAAATTGGCGGCTGAGAAAAATCTCATCTCTTCAAGATAAAGCTTCCCCCTCTCATCCCTTAACTCTCTATCTTGCTTTTTCTTACTCCTCTCTCCTACCCTTCGGTCCCTCTCTCTCTCTCTCTCTCTCTCTTTACTCCATGGATTCTCTAGCTCATCCTACCCAACTCTTCTTCTTCTTCTTCTCTCTCTTTTCAGTATGATAACTTTGTAGACTTCCAATGCGACCTCTAATGGCCGCCACGGCTTCCATTCTCTGCAACTCCTACTCTTTCCCAGTCAGTTGTTTCCAATTCCCCGTGAAAACCAGCTCAGCCTCTTCCTCTCTCTCCTTACTTTCTTCTTTCTCCCAGGCTACTTTCCTCCTTCACTCTATCTCCTCCTTCTCTCCTTTCTCTCTCTCTACCTTCTCTCCCTCAAGTCATCGTCTCCATCGCCGAAGACCAAGTTTCAGATCCCAATTTGGTTCAACGAGATCACAAAATGAACCAGATGTCAAGAAAACCCTATTTCCTGGAGGGTTCAAGCGTGCAGAGATCAAGGTGCCAACCCTAATTTTGCAATTGGAAGTTGCAGAAGTTCTTGAAGGAGGAGATGCACTTAGGTTTACAGATGCAGCGGTTTCGGAAATGGTTAGCATGGTTGTTTTGAATGGTGGGGATGAAAGTGCGGGGCGTATATATGAAGCTGCTCTAGCTTTGAAGAGGGTGTTAAGGGGAAGCTCTTACCTTCTCATATCAGAGCGTGTCGATATAGCATCTGCTGTTGGAGCCAATGGGGTTGTTCTCTCTGATCAAGGTTCGTGACATTTTGTCTTTTGCTCAAAACTACTTTTCTTATTGCCATTCTTGAATTGGATAATTCAGCTAAATCCACAACACTAGACTTGGAATTTGGAATTTGAAATTGTATCAATCATGAGTAGGTTACAAAACGAGAATCACCATCTGTAATCTCGTGTTCTCATATGCATTAGAAAGAAACTTTGTTGGTCCCAGTTCAAACTGTTATTTAAGATACTCTGTTCCTTAATCTTATGGTTGGTTTACTTTTTGCCGCAACAATGAACACTCCATTAACTGTGCCTTTACTGCTTCACCTATTAATGGTCCTTGTGCGTAAAAATTCTGAAGAATCATTTATAATTTTTGGGTAATCTGTTATCCACTGGACTATATGAAAAACTGTTGCCCACTGGGCGCTGCCCACTGAAATATGGTCACTGATGGGTGAGAGAGAGAGGCTTTCTCCAAAACGTAGAAAAAATGGATACAGAGCGGGATCCACCATTTGGTCATTGTCCTCTTCTTGTTGGCACCACCCACCCTCTCTCCATCATGACTTAACCAGCCATCATCTCATTGGATGGTGATGACCCCAATGGACTATAGTTTTCTCCGTAGTCAATTGATTGGAGCATATTTTTGCATTTTACAATTTTCCATGATTTGCTTTAGAATGGGGCTTCTATCAAGATCCTTCAACTGTTTATTGGTTTCTGTGTGAGATTAGAAATATATTGTGGTCTGGATGTTAATGTATAAAAACATTTGGTTATCTGGCAAAATAGTTATTTCTTGTCAAAGTAATGTTATGCTTCAGGACACTACCTATGGATTCCTATAAGCTAGTGCTTGCTCCATTACTGCAGGCCTACCTGCAATTATTGCAAGGAATATGATGATGGAATCCAAATCTGAGTCTATAGTTCTCCCTTTAGTTGCAAGAACCGTGACAACAACTGAGTCCGCGTTGAGTGCATCAAATTCTGAAGGTGCTGACTTTTTGATATTTGCTATCAATAATGAGAAAGACGTTGAGATGCTGTCTCGCTCTGTAGTCCGTAATGTCAAGGTACCTGTTTTCACTATGATTAATTCACTAGAAAGTAGTGAATTACATAATGGAGCTGCAAAATTGCTCCAATCTGGTGCAAGTGGGTTGGTCATATCATCACATGATATGCAGTTTAGAGGTGATGTTTACAGTCAGTTGCTCTCGTCAGCAATATTAACTGAGAAAGGAAATCAAGAAGAGCTTCAAAGCCCTGAGAAGATAAAACTGATGAATGGGGAGGATTTCCATGCAAATAAGACTGTTGATGGAATTACCAAAATAGAAGATATAGAAAAACAGATCATAGAAGCCGAGAGGCCTGTCCTATTGGAAGCTATTGATTTTATTCGCAAAACTGCACCACAGGTATGAAACTGTTTGTTAGGTAACATATTTAAAATATCATAGTTTTGTTGGAAAAAGGATTGTGCTACTCTTTGAATCCATATCTTTTATTGCCGACCTTGACCTTGTGTATTACTGTTGGTTCTGAATGTTAGATGGAGGAGATTTCACTTCTTGTGGATGCAGTTGCTCGATTGGATGAGCCATTTTTGCTGGTTATAGTGGTAATAGTGCGTTGAACTTCAGCAAACTCTGGTTACACGCCTTATCCATTGGTATTAGCCCTGAATTTTTGTGACTTTCTTTGTAAAATTGCCATGTTGGTCTTCATTACTTAAAAGAGTTTGTAGATTTGCCTAGTTCTGATAACTGCTGCAATTCATCTGGTGTTTTGGGATTAGTAATTTGTGTTTTGTTTTGGATATATACATTTTTCAACATTGTCCTCACATCTTCTTCACATGCTATGCCATTTGTTTATGATTGTTTTTATTTTATTTGTAAAACATCATATTATTGTTTATTTAGATAGTGATGCTTTGATGCACTTTGAGCAAATGTTTGAAGAGTTGTTGCTTCCTTTAGAAATCTGGAGTTTGAAAGATGCATTCACATGGCAAACTATGTCGCTATTATCTGTAACATCATGATTTATCTGCTGGAAAGAGCCGTTTTCTTATATTTCAAAGTTCTTTATCGACAGGCTTCTCATTTGTTGAATTTCACCATTAATGCTTTGGGATTTTCCTCGTTACTTGGAATCATTATGCATTTAACTTATTCATTACCTTGAAGTGTATATTGCAATTTTCCTCATTACTTGGAATAGTTATGCATTAACTTATTCATTACCTTGAAGTGTATAATCTGTATTATTTTCAGGACACTGTCAATTCTTGTGCCTTGGGTTGGGTTTGTCATTTAGTGCTTTGTAAGATGTACATGCCATAATCTTCCTTGAGCATCATGAGTTTATATGAACGAGATTTGAAGAGAGCGAATTTGAAAAAATAAAGATGATAAAGGGCCTTTGGTGTCTTATAGTGATTAGGGCAAAGGTTTGTTTCCCTAATGCCTAAGGTTTAGTTCCCCAGCTCACCTGCCTGTTGCATCAAAAAATAAGGAAGAAAAGGATCACAAAACACTTTATGTAATAACTAATAGTGATGAGTAACACTATGTTTGTTATTGAATAGACATAAGTTTTGAGTTTGTAACATAAAATGGGATATAAAGCGTTGTCAAGCCGCTTTACAATATTTTCTTCAGAGCCTATATGCCATTGTTTGTGTTTGGTTTCAAACAGGACAGTAACATCCTCCTCAATCCATTGGCTGGAACCTCCTCAAACATTCATTGGCAACAGATGGTTGAGGAGCCTGTTAATATCCTGTTTCTTAAAAACAAGTACTATAGAATTCTCTTCCTCTTCGTAATTTATTCTTATTTGTCAATCATCCTGTTTTTGTTACTTGCATCATATATTTTCTTCAAGTCATTTAATAATATGTCTTTGATCCTCATTTGATGTAGAGGATAATATTCCTTGAGCATATCATAATTGACGCTTGGATATACTAACATGTGCTTTTACATGAGCAAATACAAAGTATAGGTTAACAGTTTCTTCTGTTTCATATCATACTTGTCAAAGTAGTGGTCCTGTGCATATATTTGTCTTTAGGGTACTCATTTGGTCTTTGAAAATATTCAGGGTGAATTTAACTCTGGGAAATCAACTGTAATCAATGCGCTTCTTGGAAGAAAGTACATGGAAGATGGGGTGGTTCCAACCACGAATGAGATAACTTTGTTATGTTATTCTGGGTCAGGTTCCAATGATTACAAACGCTGTGAAAGGCATCCTGATGGGCAATATATATGTTATCTACCTTCTCCAGTTCTTAAAGATGTGAGTTTGCTTCCCTTGACTGTGTTGATATTATCATTTTCATCATCACTCTACCAATTAATGCCACTCTTTATTGATTTTATTACGATATGCCTTCACTAAAGTGAATTAAGAGAGCATTTTTAACTAAATCATGACTATCATCTTCGTCTTTTTTTTCTTTTCTTTTTTTTTGCCTCTAATTTGGAATTTCTGTAACACAACATGGCAGTTGCATGCGGACTCTTTTTTTCTTTAACAAATAACTGTGTACAATATAAAATGCGATAGAGATGCATTCAGTAGTCTCGCTGATTATTTAAATTCTTATTTGGAGATTTCACTTGTTTATAATCTCTATTTGGTAAGAGAACTTCCATCTTGCAGCTTGGTTTACAGCTTTTGAATTAGCATCCCTATGGATTGACCATTGTACATTATGCAAGATCTAGTGCAGAAGTCTTAAATTTCACTGGAGCCACACCATGCATTGCGGTGCCTCCACTGCTCAACAGGAACATGACATTGATGATGGAATCTTCTCATTCTCAGTCTATGTGTATGATGCTTGTTGATCCCAAGTCTCTGTCCTAGATGAAGCAACTTTTATGCAGTTGCACCATTATCATGGTTCTACCTGCGAGAAGTGTTATCCCGATCATGTCGCCGGATACAACTCAATCCATGCTAAACCAAAATAACCCCTGCTCCAACCATCAGTATTCAATATAAGACAAGTCACTCAATGCCATACATTGTGCATAATAGATGATGCCTTATTGCACTCATTAACCATGATATTGCCATATCAAAATGACAAACCAAATTGACGTTGAATGGCTGTTAAGAATTGCTTCCTTAAAGTATGTTTGATGCGAATGCCATCCACAAGCAATAACAACTGATGGAATAGGACATCCAGTTGTCAATCTTTCCATTGGAGTGTATAGTCATAAGCAATGCCATTTTCGTGACCGTTGACTGTTACCCATTTATTGTGCCTTTTTGCTACTGACAGTCTCATTTGCCAAGCTTTTGACCTTACAACTCCAGTAACATAGTTGGAATCTTCCCAGCAGGAAGAGGCACAAGCTCCCAATATTATTTTTTCTGGAGCTTTGATTTCCTTCTTCATAGCTTGCCTCAACAGACAGGATTTGGGGCTTCATTGCGGGTGACAATTGTGTGAAGATACAAATTTCTATTTATTTATGGAAAACGTTTATGTAGAGCCGAGGTTCTAAACAGTGAAATTAGAGCCCACTTCAAAAATTTCACTAGAAGAGGTTGTTTTGATGCTTAATATCCTCAAATTGATCATCTTGACATCAAGATTGCATGGACATGAGAAAAAATCGGATTTCAAGTTTAGAAATAGTGCATCTTGTAACGCATTTTTGGATTGTCAATTTTCAATATTTTCAAGTTTTCATAGATCTGCTTGATCTACACTATTTTAAGCTCTAAATTTCATAATAAAGATGAAAATATATTTTAAGGCTATCACAAAGATTTCCGATAGTAGAACCACATTTATCGACACTATTTGGAGGTGTGCTTTACTTTGATTGTTTAGAGCCTCGGCTCTATACAAACCGCACCCTTTCTTTATTGCTGCATCTTTTCCTCTCAACATATGATTATCATATGTCGCTGGTTAATTTATCACCTTTAGGTTCAGTTACGAATCTTCATTTCAATTTTTGTGCCAACGAACTATTTTTCAATTATGTTTCGGATGCCTTCTCTATTGATTGTTGATGCTGGTGCCATCCATATTCTTCTTTTTCAATTATTTTCTTCTTATCTCATATCCATGTGAGATCCCTGTAAATTATGTCAACTGGTTTCGTCATCTTTTTCTTGCAGATGAATCTTGTTGATACACCTGGAACTAATGTGATTCTTCAAAGGCAGCAGCGCCTTACAGAGGAGTTTGTTCCTCGTGCCGATTTGCTTCTTTTTATCATTTCTGCTGATAGGCCGTTAACCGAAAGTGAGGTATGCCCATACATAATACTGAAAGTACATGTCGGGTGCAAGTATTTGAGTTTGTATTTTGTAAATTCATCTGTCTTATTTACACTCAAGCAATGGGTCCTTAGAAGTGAAATTCACATATGATGCAAGGTTCATTGGGAAAGTATAAGAGGTTCTGTACACTTTTCTTTTCCTCTGTATCTTAAACATGTGTGTGTTCTCTAGTGCCTTGCATTCCTTTTCTAGTTGTGATTTTACATGCTCATTTTGGTTAGCTTTGGGGTTCACAGGGAAGAGTTGGATCCTTGCCACTGTCTTTCCATTGTTATTTTTTGTTGTGGTATTGTCCCCTCACTATCCCTTCTTTCCCTTAGATTTCTCACTAATAAAAAATAATAAGAGACAATGATCCATCAGTTTGGCACTAACCGAAATGTAAATACTGCTCTAGTGAGGTTGTGTTTTTATGATAAAGCTAGAGACTTGAGAATGTAGAAAATTCCTAGCATTCAATAAAATCCTATAGAAGACTGAAAATTATGGAAGGCGTACATATCCTGGGTGATAGACTTTAAAGGTCACTCCTAGGTAGCAGACATGCAAGACTACGATTTACAAGCATAAAAATTGTGGGTGTGCACTCTCTTTGTTATGTGAAATGGTGTTACTGTATTGTGTAGAAATATGTGGCACTGGCATTTGTAATGTGTAATTTCGTCGGAGGGAGTTAATGTCAAGTTGTATTTGCTATACATTGCAGGTCAATTTTCTTCGTTATGTTCAGCAATGGAAGAAAAAAGTTGTGTTCATTTTGAACAAATCAGATCTCTATCAGAATTCTAGTGAGGTTTGATTTTTTTAATCTTTTAGTTTTCTTGATGCTTTTGGGTGGTTGTTGCTTGTAGTAAAAATCCTCTTACCATGTGAGATTTGGGCTTCTCCCTTTGAATGTCTTAAGACTTGGAGACTGATTTCTGTTCTTGTTATGACCCCTTCCATTTCCCTGACTTCAGCTTGAAGAAGCGACTAGGTTTATCTCAGAGAATGCACAGAAGCTTTTAAGTGCAGATTCTGTAACATTATATCCTGTATCTGCACGATCTGCTCTTCAAGCCAAAGTTTCAGCTACAGGAGACGATGGACAAATAGATCAAGAAATATTTTCAAGTGACCTTAGATGGAAAACTAGTGGATTTTATGAACTTGAACAATATTTGTTCAGTTTTTTAGATACATCAACAGATATGGGAATGGAAAGGATGAGGCTTAAGCTTGAAACACCAATTGGGATTGCGTGCACTCTACTTGCAGCTTGTGAAAGGCAAGTGATACAAGAATGTGAAAAGACCAAGAAAGACCTGATCTTAGTAAACAAAATTGTTGGTAGTGTAAAAGAGTATGCCAATAAGATGGAAAGCGAGAGCACATTCTGGAAGAAACAGGCGTTATCACTGGTACATATCTGTATGGTTGGGGAGAACATTCCCGAATGACTTATCTTCTTGTTTTATGTAGTTTTAGTGTTGTTTTGATGTCATTATTTAACAACTGTCCCCCAATTTTATTCACACGGTTGAGAATCATGGAGTTCTTTTCTTTTTGATAGTTTGAATTGGAATGTACAGGTTGATACAGCAAAAGCCCGTGCAGAGAATCTTATCAATTCTACGCTTCGATTATCTAACATTGACATGGCTGCTTCGTATATGTTTAGAGGAGAAGAATACAGTTCAATTCCTGCTGCCTCAAAGGTTCAAAATGAAATACTTGGTACTGCACTCTCTGATGCACAAGTAAGTTTGCAGCCCATTCTGTTGCAGAAATGATTCATTAGATATTTGAGGAGTATACATGGCTTTCTCCGTCATTGATATTTTCTTCTTGAATTGTATGTCATAATTGTTTCCCTTTGAATGTATAGTTTATGTCTATAACAATGTTGAAAGAGAAATTTCGGAAAATTTGTGGTGGAACATATTTTATTGATGAGCAAGAAGTTTACTTCACATCTTTAACCTTTCCTGTTTATCTTGCTGCATAATGGATGCCCAAGGAATTACTGGCTTTTGTTTTCATTATGAAGCACAACCCTGTCCTTGTTGTATCGAAGGATATTTTTTGGCAATTTTTTATGTTGAAGTGTAGGAGGAAATCAAGAATTCATGCACAGAAACTCTGAATATGACATCACGATAGATTCATATGTATGTTGATAGTGTTGAGATTTTAAATATTAATAGACATGAGCAAAAAAAATTAATAACTACACAGGCAAGCAGAAAAAAAGCTGAAGAATGTTTTGAGTTGGTTATGTGAGGTTATTCTCAATGCATCATGCCATTGGAAATTGAAAGAGCTCACCTCAGAAGGTGTTGGACACAGGTAACCAGTTCTGAGGACCTAACTTATGCTGGGCTCTTGCCATGCACATGGCTATAATCAAGTACAACTGCCCTGTTTCAGCCACAAACAAACTCAAGTTCAAATGCTCGGTGTAGCTGCTATGACTCATCTTCTTATTCAAGTCCCTGTCTTACTCTCTATCAGGGAGGAGATTGCAATTCTAATTTACTAAGTGAAATGATGGCAATTCTCTTAAAAAGTGTGAATTTTAGAGATTTTCTAGAGTGTAGTGTACGAAGCAAGCTTGAGCCTTTCTTGTTGTGGAAAGGCATATCTGGCTTTTAAGTAACTCTTCCTTTGGTTAGCAATGGTTCTTTTTATTTAGTTGCCATTTTAAACCTTCATTAATATCACTTTGATCAAGCGTTTCCAGAACAGTCTGGCCCTGATTTACTAAAAACGTTTGATGGTATTACTTTTGCTGTTCCAAGTTTTAACTTGCACTTGTCACAGGTTTCCTGAGCTAATGCAATTGCGATTATTGGCCTTTAAGATGAAATTTCAATAGTTCTCCATAGTCAACTTTCCATATTGCAATTCCTAATTCATCATACTGGGTGGTATTTCAGAAACTTCTCGTGGATTACTCAACATGGTTGGACTGCAGTAATGCACGTGAAGGAATGCAATACACGCAAATATTTGAAAAGGAATGGCCTGGGTTTGTATTTCCAGAAGGGTTGACTCTTTCAGAAAAAAATCAATTGTTGGATAGAAGAGAGGAACACAGCATTAAAGTATTGGAGCAATTCAGTGCGAGTGCTGCCACAAAACTTTTTGATCAAGAAATACGTGAAGTGGTGAATAATTAAATTTTCATACTGCAGATAGAGCTATTTGATTTTTATTTTACCCATTTTCTCAAGAGCTCCATCTCCCCATGTTTTAGCTGTATTTACATAGTAAATGGAGCTTCTCATTTTTTCCTTCTAATCTCAGGTATTGGGAACAATTGGAGGATTAGGAGCAGCTGGTTTGTCTGCTTCTCTTCTAACAACAGTACTAGAAACCACAGCAGAAGATCTTCTAGCTTTAGGGCTTTGCTCGGCAGGCGGGTAATAACCACTTTTTCGTATTGTTTTAAAACTTATGTTGATTCTTGTGTTAGCACTTCTTTCTCTTTCCATAGAAATTGAGAATCCAGTCATTTGCTTCCACAATTATTTTCTGTTAAAGATTTTGGCCAGGATGGATGGGAAGAAAAAGAAAAATAACTGAGAATATATGCTTCAATTGTATGGAGAATTTTGCTTCAATTGAGTATGGGCTCTTTGGTTGAAGAACCATCGCTTTGGCTGAAGAGGCCTATAGAGCCTAAAGGTTAAAATGGAATTTGGCTGATGCAAAGTGAAGCCAAGAACTCGCTTTTTTTTTATTTTTGGGTCTCTCATTCATTCGGTGACTCATGACTTCTTTGGTGACCAAACATTTTGTCTTTTGAAACTACGAAAATCATTCTATCTATGCTAGCAAATTTTATCCTAGTCTTTCATTTATTTGTATTAGGCAAATATTTGCAGCTTTTGCTTTCATAGAATCTTAATAGATTGAACTTCTTTTACTAGATTGGATTTACTTGTGAATAAGAGCTTGAGCAGTTTATTTCTGTAGCACAATAGGAAAAATGAGTAGTTTTATTAAACAGATTTTGTAAGGAAGGTAAGCTGACCTCAAATACTTGGGATAACGCTCTGATGATGATGAAGACGACGATGATTTCATAAGGAAAATAATATGGATAAAATTGACTTAAGGCAGCTCTCTAAAAGTGTCCTTTTTTTGGCTCTTCCTGTGCACAACATGCATATTGTGGTTATAAGCAGTGTAGTTGTGAGTTGCTGTTTGGGAAACAAAATTTGTGTAGGTAAATAGAGTACAGCTGGTGCACATGCTAACAGTTTTGTTGGAAACCATTTTCTTTCATACATACAATGTAACTGCTATTTTAGTACTCTTTCCTAAGAAAAAAGGTTCTCTTGTATGAGTGTTAGATGACACATTTAGTTTACCATCACACTTGAATGGGCAAATGTTGGTGTTATTGTTACTTTCAGTTTCATGACCATGTACTTCTTTGATACAAATTTTGTTTATGCTGTGGCAGTTTATTGGTGATATCAAATTATCCTGCTCGTCGAAAGGAGCTAGTGAATAAAGTGAATAAAGTGGCAGATTCATTAGGTCGAGAACTTGAATTGGCCATGCAGAAGGATCTTGATGACACCATAGGAAATCTTGCTGGCTTTGCGGAATGTATCAGTAGGCCATACCAGGAAGCAACTCAAAATAAATTGAACTACTTGTTAGATATTCAAAAGGAACTATTGAGCACTGGAGAAAAACTTAGAACATTACAGAATGAAATTCAAAATATTCACATTCCTCAATAATTAGAAGTTTTCGAGCTTCTAGATTTGTGCTGTAATCTGTGGATGAGATCATGATTTGTTGAGGTATTCTTTTTGTTCAATGCTCTCTCTCTTTGGAAATAAGATTTGATTAAATTTATGCATTTGTTCACTATATAATAGCATTGAGATCTTATGTTCTGTAGCACTTCTAGTAACTTCTACTTAATGCAAGACACTGTTCTTTTTCTTATTACTATTACGTTGGTGGTGGGTAAAATTAACTTTATTAAATAAAATATGTACATAAATTGGCATCAAAGTGAGGTAGAGGCAACACCTGGATGAGCCAAAGCATCAGCCTTCGAAAAGGGCAGGTTTGCTTAGCTTGTTAGTGACACACTTTCAGGTGTTAGTGACACACTTTCAGGGTGCAATGGAAGGCCTCCTACTTAACAAAGGGGATTCTACCATTAGGCCAAAGCCTGAGGGACTTCAACATTGTTCCACTGAAATAAGTGAATAAAATTTTCGTGGCCCTGTGTGTGTGTGTTTCCATATTGCCAAATAGTGTGAGCTGAAGAGGGAAGCAAGTAGAGGAAGAATTTTGAATGTCAGGTGTGTGTGTCTCTCTCTCTCTCCATATGGCCAAATAGTGCGAGCTGAAGAGGGAAGCAAAGAGGGGGAAGAATTTTAAAGGGGTCAGGTGTGCTCCCTCCGCATTATTTGGATACACCATTGTTGGCCGCGTGTTGGAATTTTCAATATTTGTATTATGTTGATAGACTCTTCCAATGTTTCTTGATCTCCATTGACAGTTGTTAGCAGTAATGCAGAAATCAAAATTGGGCCCTGAATCATCATGGGCCCTGTCCCAGTCCTCCTGATCCAATTTGGGCAATTCTCGAGTCAGAGAGGTCTACAGTTAACAAAGAGAATAGATCAGAAAATTTGAGAATGATAGTGAGTCGGGTTCTTCAAAGTTCAAACCAGAACAGATAGGCGCTATTCCATACACCGGTGTAGTTTCTTGTATACTTTGTGAATGACTGGATATTAGCACTTTCCCCCTAAAGAAAGTCCGGATGTCTATTATTATGTTTTGTTCTTTGTTTTCAGAACTTGTATTCCATGAAATTCTTTTTCTATTTTTTTCCTTAACTTTCCTTGCATTCCATAAACTTTCTTTTCTCAATATTCAAATTCCGGTTTAGTTTTTAAATTTGGGATTGTCTACAAAGAGATCATTTGACTTTTGTACATAGAGGTCAATCATTATTGTCCATTGAACTTTAAAATGGGTGGTTGTAAGAATGTATAGACAAATATTTTTAAAAAAAATCTCGGACCTCATCACTCACCCAAGCTATCTAATTTGATATCTGAGTGGGAATGATTTTGACTTCCATGCACAATACGTAAATGGCCTCTTTATAAACAATCCCCTCAAATTTAGCTACTTGTTTGGGGAGCTTTACATCTCGTATCCGAAGCTTTCCCATTCAAAATAGCATTCCCACCTGTCATTTATGTGTAACATGTACAAGACATAAATGATTATGTCTCACCCCTAACATAACTTTAAGAAGAAAAAATAACTTGCTTCTGTATTAATGAATTCATTGAATTGGTGATATCATTTGGACAGGTACAAATGTCTAAGGTGTTGTGTGGCATGCTGTTGCCTAAGCTTGGCTAATGCAATATAATGGATTTGGCGGACTCTCTCTCTGGAAAGGTTCAATAGTCTCCCAATCTCATCACAAGATTTTGGGGTTTCCCCATTCATCCCGAACTGCAATCTCACTATGCATTCTTCTCTCTCACTGAGTGTTTGCAGAAGCATTTCCATTGTCCCCTTCATCCATTCTCTTTTCACCATTTCCTCTGGACGTGTCTCCTCTGGTCCAGCAATTATGTCCTGGATCACAATGTTGAAAATAGTGTTACCAGATGTGTAATTGACTCGTTATGTGTCTGATCTAGTCAAATTTGGTCCGACCTAGGTGGAACTAGCAAGCCCGGATTTTAGAAAATAAATAAAATAAAAAAGATAACTTAAAAAATTGAAAATATTATAAAAGAGGTTGTTGAACTTTCTTTTAGCCAGTTAAAAAAACAATTGATCTGAAACAGATTAAACGGGTCAAATATTAATTTGACCCATTTTCAATCAAATCAAATTTTTACTATGGACTAGGGCACTGGTCTGCTGTGTGCTTGGTAAGATTGCTCAGTCAGCACGTGACAATACTTAGTTGAAAATATCTCCAAGAATTCAAAAAATAAGTGCACAGATTCCTAAAGAGTCTTTATGTACGATGTAGAAAGTGAAAGAGAAACTTAAAAGAGAAAAAGGGGGCAAAAACATGCAAGACAAAGAAGGAAGCATGGCGTAGAAGAGAAATCTTAAAAAGAACAGAACGGAGAGAATACGTATTAATGCAAAGTGAGAAGCATGGTTATACCTTGAGTGAAATGTCTCCATGTCTTCCTAAGGGTTGATCAATGGAGAGAGGTAGTCTACATCTCTCAGTAACAAGCCTCACCCTGCTCAGCGCAATGCCTGTCTTCTCTGCAATCTCCTCTTGGCTTGGCCTCCGTCCAAGCCTCGACATAAGAACCCCACTCGCTTCTGAAACTTTTGCCACCGTTGCACACATGCTTCCCTGCATGTCTATAGTTTAGAGAGAGAGGGTCTATCTGTTCCTATTTCATTTCTAGAGAGAAAGTCAATAGTGGTCTCAGTTGGGTTTTAATGCTATTTCTCTTTGTTGTGTATGCGAGTGAGTTTTTTTTTGTTGGGGGAGGGAGTCTGAAGTGTTAGTCTTTGGGTGAACGTCTCCTAGTGCTATTTAGAGAGAGAGAGAGAGAGAGAGAGAGAGAGGGCGGACGACGAGACTATCGTACGACGTCTTCGTACGTACGTTGGTCGACTAGTCGTTGTTAGTAGTGTGTCGGTTGTTTGTTACGACCTACCAAC